ACTGTGGCGAAGCGCTTGAAAGCTCGCGGCATTTTTATCTCTCCTGTCTGGCAAACCTCTTATCTCGGCGTTGACACAGGTGTTGGCAAACGTCAGGCAAGAGCTGTTCGCAAGCAAAGAGTCGCCAAGTCGGTTCGGCAACATCACAAACTTCGCCGATTTGCCCGAGCTTCGAACATGTCAGGTGACTAAACGCGTGGAGATCACTGGGCCCCAGGCGGCTGCATCTTATGGTGTCCAGGCTTACGGGGTATTCGGGGCTCAACTGCTCCAAGCACGTCGTCGTCTTGCCGCCAGTGGTTGCAGATTTGGATTCAGTCGCCTGCAGGTATCTCGCAAGCTTGGCCCACCGTACTTCGGCAGCTGCGGGCAATGTCGCCGGAGCATCACACTCGTCATATACGGGGTCCTCTCTCTGCTCTGCTGCATCAATTGCTCTTGCTAGGTTGGGACCCTGCGCGTGCTGATCACTGGCATGGACCGTGTAGTGACGATGATGGAATGCCTGCTTTCTCTGGGAATTTCCAATCTGATACGCTCGTAGGCATGGACCAGTCGAGGGGGTTGATTGAGGATGCCAAGAGCTGTCTTATGGCACGGCAATGGTCACAAGCGAGTCTGCATTTCAATGGTGCTGGCCTGGAGGACGGCGCCGACAACTACAGTTTACGTGCGCTTCCGGCGCAACTTCAGGGCGCTGCGCATGGCAAGCAGCTTCAGAGTTGCTCTTGAGTATCTCGGCTGGTGGTTCGTGGGTCGGCTCTCGCAAGCAAGAAGCAGGACTACCTGTCGACCCACTGTGCCCTCGGTGCCGAGCAGCTCCCGAGACCCCCATTCGTCGTCACTGGACTTGCGAAGCCAACATGGGGCACCCCATTTATGTGGATCCCGACGAGTTTCTCATGGAAGCCATGGCCCATCACGAACTCGAACCGTGTTTTTGGCACCGGCGGCTCATTCCCCGTAGTTGGACCCTGGTGGAGGCCCCCGTCGAGGAAGAAAGCTGGCTTACCTCTGGGATTTCTGGAGCTCTGGAGGCAAGCTGTCTTGGGAGCGGGTCTTCACAAGACCCCACCGTGAGCTGCGGGGACGCCTCGGGAGGCCCAGACAGTAGAGATCCACGATTTCGACATGTTGGGCTGGCTATTGTCGTCGTTAACCAGTTCGTTCCGTCCCTCTGCGAGCAGTCTATTGCAGGTCCGCTTCCAGACAGGTCTCACACAGTACCTCGAGGGGAACTTTTGGCTTTCTTGATATCACTGCTGTGCACCGACGGGCACCTAGTTTTCGTTTCGGGCAACGAAGAGGTAGTGCGAGGTTGGTGGTAACGTCGTTGGGAGTCCCCGAGCGGGGAGCTGGCTGATCTTTGAAGGCAGATTGGTGAACTTCTTAGGCACCGTGCCCATGAGAAAATTGCCGTCCTCCAGATTCCGTCGCACCTCACTCCCCAACACGTCGTCGAGCGAGGGTACCCTAAATGGGTGATCTCGGGAATCATCTACGCTGACGTTCTCGCTGGTCTGGCGGCCGAACAGCACAGATTACCCGAGCAGACCCGTTTTCGTGTATTTCAGGTTGAGCGTAAGGCTGCATTGGTTCGGAAGCGATTGATAAGATCAACTGTCGAGGCCATGAATTGCGAGCAGGCTTTGAGAAAGATTGAACGAGTCAGGTCCGCTGCTGATGCCGCCCACCCTCTCGTTCCCCTGTCTCGGGATCTTCTGCAGCCTCCCGCGGGGGCTACAGGTCCATCTGGCGGGGGTGGGTGGGTGCACGTCCATCTGGCGGGGGGATCTTCTGCAGCCTCCCGCGGGGCTACCGGTCCATCTGGCGGGGGTGGGTGGGTGCACGAGGGCCATGCGATGTGCTTGAACGAGGTTTCTAAGGTGTGGATCTGCAAAGGCTTGCGGGCTTCTCGGGGCCGGGCAACTTCGGGCCCTGTCGTCCGCTTGCCTCCCATTGCAGATCACCAAGAAGAGGAGGGAATGCCTTTCGAGATTCGAGAGGGGACCTCCCCCCAAGTGGTCTGAATTGCTATTGCTTCGCAATCGTTCCGGATCCGAATCCTCCTCCTCCTCCTCCTCCTCCTCCTCCTCCTCCTCCTCCTCCTCCTCCCCTTCCTCCTCCCCCTCCCCCTCCCCCTCCCCCTCCCCCCCTTCCCCCTTCCCCCCTCCGCCTCCTGAGGCTGAGGATGATAATGATAATGTCGATCGTGAGGATGGCAATGATTCTGTTGATTATGATGGTGGCGACACTGAGGATGAGGACAAGGATGATGAGGAGGAGAGGATGCTGCTGCTGATGATGGTGATTGGGATGGCGATGCCAATGACGATGGCGACTGTGATGGTGGTTGTGATGATGATAATGAGGATGTGGCTGAATAGTATGACGAAGACGGTGATGAAGCTACTTATTGTGATGCTGGTGATGCTGATGAGGCTGAGGATGATGCTGGTGACGGCGATGATGATGATGATGATGATGATGATGATGATGATGATGATGATGATGATGATGATGATGATGACTCTGATGGTGATGATACTGATGATGATGCTGATGCGGATGCGGATGCTGATAATGAGAACGATGAGGATGTTGCTGGTGGTGATGATGATGTTGGCATTGTCGATGATGATGGTACTGATTCATGTTATTATAACAGTCATGTGTATGAGTATGGATCTGACGATGGTGCTGTTGCTGCTGGAGATAATGATCATGGTGATGCTCCTGCTGCTGATGATCATGCTGATACTGATGCTGGTGTTGCTGCTGATGATGATGCTGATGGTGAGAATGATGATGCTGATGATAATGGTGATGATGCTGATGATTATGAAGGGGATGATGAGGATGAGGATGAGGATGATGCTGACGATGATGCTGCTGATGATGATGCTGCTGATGATGATGCTGCTGATGGTGATGATAAAGAAACTGAAACGTTCCCCGAAGCGGTTCCGTGGACCCAGGAGGCCGTGCGGAAAGAAGATTGGCGCTACACGAGTGCAGCTAACGTCAGATTAACGTCACAAATTTGAAGAGGAGGAGGGGGAGTGGGAGGAGGAGGGGGAGGAGGAGGAGGAGGAGGAGGAGGAGGAGGAGGAGCAGGAGGAGGAGGATGAGGAAGAGGAGAAGGAGGAACAGGAGGAGCAGGAGGCGGAGGAAGAGGATGTGTTCTGTCTTGCTGTTTGCAGTATCAGGCAGCAACCTGTACTTGCTTTCCCTCAGGAAAGCTGGTGGAACTAATCTGAATGGGGTACGCATTGGGAATTGGCAGGGCCCCGCTGAAGGAATGGGTAGGCGGTGGAGCAACAAATAGGCGTCCTGTTCGGTGTGCGCTTCGTAGCGTGATACTTAGGCTCGCCAGCGCGGGCTGCAGTCATTCCACAACACATGCCCCAAGTCCTAAAAACGAACTGGAATGCCTTGATTCGCGTTGCTGCCGTTATTGCCATGGTTGTGACGAGAAAGGAGGAGGAGGAGGAGGAGGAGGAGGAGGAGGAGGAGGAGGAGGAGGAGCAGGAGGAGCAGGAGGAGGAGGGGAATATGAGGACGACGACGACGACGATCTCCTCCTCCACCTCCTCGTCCTCCTCCTGCGTCTCCTCCTCAACACCTATTCTCCTGCTCCTCCTACCCACCCACCCTTCCCCCCTCCGCCCTTCCTTCCTCCCTCCCTACCTCCGAAAGGAGACTGGTGACCCTGACTGGACCAAAGAGGAGGGGACGATCTAGGCTTGTAGGGATTCCTCGAAAGGCGAATCCTTAACCGACCCTGGAGAGCTCCCCTTGTCCCTGCTCGGTCTGGTTACGGCAAGTTCATGTCACCGCGTGGATCGTTCAACCTTGAAAGATCGCGTCTTTCCGACAACGCAGACCGTTCAACTCGGCCGATTCTGGGCCACTGGCGGCGTTCACCCTCGAACGCCAACGCTGGCGTCGCCGATGCGCCGACGCGGCGCGCACCTGCCGTAAGGCTTCCTCTCCCCGAAGATCCCCCCCCTCTCTCGGCCTGGCCCTGTTTCTCGAGCAGAGGGATCACACTTGCGGGGCCGCCGCCTACGGGCTCCGCCTGTGGAGGAGGAGGAGGAGCAGGAGGAGGAGGAGGAGGAGGAGGAGGAGGAGGAGGAGGAGCAGGAGGAGGAGGAGGAGGAGGAGGAGGAGGAGGAGGAGGAGGAGGAGGAGGAAAAACAGGAGGATGACATGCGGACATGCGGGCATCCGGCCTGTGTCAGGAAGGCGCTGCGGGGGCGCTGCAGGGGGGCGCCGCGAAGGGATGGCAAGGTGAAACATGGGAGTGGGAACGAGGAGCGAGGGGCAGGGGAAGAAACACACAAATGATTTTCAACATAGGTGCGCGCATGAAGTGTACAATTAAGATGTCACTCGCTGCTCAACGAAACCTGTCTTACACATACCCCTTCCTTCTGTTTGTGCAACCCTCAACAAATCTGTCAGTGTCCTTGGCGGATCCTGGTTCGTTTGCTGTGTCGCCGCATATCGTCGCACCATCTTGCCTTCAGCCGTCCCAACCGTCGTCGTGTCTTTGTCTGCGCGTCCCATCTGGGATCCTGTTGTAAAACTGATCGTGCCCACTCCCTTCGTCGTACCCGTGGCAATCTGACGTGCCCAATCCCATTTACGTTCCTGGATACGTGTATTCCAACCAACACTTCCCATTTTTGAAGTGGCATTCTCTGCGTATCGTGCTGCGCGTCTGATGCATTTTCACCAGGGTTCCAAAACGTCCTCCTTCTCGTGAGGATGGTCTGTGGCTGAGATTGGCGACGGTGGCGCGCTATCTACATCTTTCCCACTGGCGATGATGGAACCGTTATTGTTGTCGCTCTCGTGTCCGATGTCGGTATTGTGGTTGACGACAGCGTCGCCTTGGCCTCGCTCTGGCCGTGCTCTTCTGGCCGTCCTCCATCGGAAAATGTAGGCGACCATGCGGGGCATGTGTCGCTGAGTTCGGCGAATTCGACTTGCGAGCTTTTCTGTGACCGTCCTCGCTTCGCACCCATACAACATTGCTGGTTTGATTGTCCTAAAAAGGATACTCAGATGCGATTGTTCATTGAAAACTGGGCGCCCGGCAGCTCGTTTTTGAACAAGGAAAACTGCCGCAATGCCAACGCAGTTCGGTTTACTACTCCTGTCTTGTGGCTGTCGCTGAACTACAATTTGCGCCCCAACTACCTGATTGCACATGATGGCAGGAGTACCTCGAGCTTCACTACGTGACAGAAGACGTGCGTCGGTGGTTCTCGTTCTCGTTTTGGTCTGCGCCCGTTGTGCCAAGATCTTGGTCCTCTATGCATCCCAGCTGCGTGCACGCTGCAGAATGATCTCCCTCCCTCCCTTCCTCCCTCCCCCCCGTTCCCAGGGCCCCCTTGCCCTCTCTAGGATACCCCCCTGTCCCCCATAGCGCCCGCTGCCCTCCATAGGCCCCCCCCTCCCCTCTCAGGAGCCCCCCCTCCCCGCCTCCCCAGCAGTAGCTTTCAGTCCTGGATCCGTTTGGATGGTCCCCTGGGGACAGCGGGCCCCAGCAGCCGAAACCGCGGAAGAACACGCCAAGATGAAGGGGCTCTGGAAAACACAAATGAATAGACACAAATAACAGGATTTCCCATCTGTTCACAGATTCTCTGGATGTTTGTCTTTCCCCCTTCCCATATTTTCCCATATCTTCTGGGGAATCGACGATTCATTGTGTCTGTGTGTTTTTTCCCCTCCTGACTCGAGCCAAAACGACGCTGGCGTGGCCCGCGCGCACCGCCGGCCTTCTCGCGTCCCGCGGCCGCCTCCGGCAGCTGCCCAGCCGCCCCGCCCGGCGCGGCCAGGGGCACCCCCTGCCGAGTAGCTGGGTCATCTCATGTTTTGGATTGGCCACTCAAAGATGAACGAATCGAAGCACGTCGAACTTACATAGGGTTGCACGGCCACGTGTCATAGGTGCTTGCGTACATGTAGCTCACGGCACGTGCGAACACTTGCATGTCAGCATGATCAATTATTACAAGTAACTAGCTTGCGTGATGGTTATGCTGTATTCGTATACGAGCATGTGCAATTGCGTTTTCTTCATCCTAATTATTCTCGGCCTTTTCGGCCCACGTCCCAGCCGTGGATGACGGCGGAAATGGCCCAGGTGGCCCGCGCAGTGGCGTAAAACGAGGTGGCCTTTGCCACGAACGACTCGGCCTGGGACGTCTTCGTAGACGTGGTGGGCCACGCCGTCGCCGACGACCTCGGCGCCGCGTCGTCGGCGCCATCGGCGCATCGCGATGCGTGGCAGCACGACGCTGCTCCGCGCGACAAGGAACAGCGGGACAAGGAGCAGCGCAACGAGGAGCAGCGCGACAAGCAGAGCGACAGGGAACAGCGCGACAGGGAGCAGAACGACACGCAGACGAAGCAGCAGCACGACAAAGCCCGCCGACGAGCCCGCCGCGCCGGCAGTGACAGGTGAGGGGCCCCGGGGAACCGCGCTCGTGAGGGGCCTTGCCAGCAATGACCTGGGCGAGAACGTGGCAGCGCGCACTCATAAGGCGGGCACGCGCCAGGAGCAGCGCGAACAACGTGCGCCCGAACTGACGGGGCAGGGCGGCGGCCCAGCGGCGTGGATCCAACGGTTCGTCGAGGACGGGACGGCCTGCAGCGCCTTCCTCCACCGCCTGCGGAAGCAGGGGCCAGCAGAGGAAGGAGCGCTGGGACGATGTCAAGACGTTCGGCGCCTCGACGGATGCGTCGGCCCTCTCGGGCGACATCGTGGAGCTGAGCACGCGCAAGGCGCGTTGAACTCGAAACGTGGACACGCAACGGAGCCCTGAAGAGACGGAGTGCGCTCCAGAAGGCGCTCGAGAAATACGACGAGGACGTGTTGCTGGCAATGGCGAGGCCCCAGACCTTGCAATGCCGGCGCGGCCCGTGGATGCCACAGTCGCTGGGGGCACCAAGGCCCAAGTACCTCTGGGCGCGGTTGGCCCAGGAGTCCGAGCAGGATCGCAAGGAGAAGGGCTGCGAGCCACATGCTCATACCAAGCTCGACGACGACGCGCTCGAGAGCGCCATGGTCGACCCGGCCCAGCCCCTCCAGCAGCGGCACCAGCGCCGCCAACAACATCAGCAGCACTGGCAGCACCGGACGGAGAAGACCGAGAAGAAGATGCCCGAGGCCGTGGTGATCGCCGCGAAGGCCGTGCGTCGAGCGCACCGGACCACGGGCATCGACCTCCAGGACACAAGCCTGTGGCAGTGCTGGCTGTCCTGCGCACTCTCCCCACGCTCGCACACCTGAGGTACTGACCTCCAGGACACAGCCTGGCGGAAATGCCCGCGGTTCTGCCTCCACTTTCCCAGACGAGGTACGGCCCCACTGCACCGCAACTGTGTCTTAACGAGGCTCGCTGGTGAGGCGGGAGCTGGGATGCCCACCTCTGTCGATGAACAGGCGTTGGCATATGTATAGTTCGCAACTCTTCATAACAAACAGTGTAGCTACTGCCCCACCAGGGCCCGCGGATGGATTACGATACGAAGTCTCGTATCTGGTAGCACTATTGATGCACCGCACAGCAAGCACACCAGAGGATTTATCAACCCAGGGCGCGCCGCACACCCGGGGATATATTGATCCAGGGCGCGCCGCACACCAGAATATTTTGTTCCGTCGGGCCACCGTGCCCTCCAGGGCAGTGACACCGGGGAACTGGGCCCACTAACGGGGTTCAGGCGCCCTGGAGCTATATTACGTCACGTCATCCTCCCCTCGCCCCCCCGCGGGCCCCAAGGATGCCCCGAACAGGCCCTCCAAGGCTACCCCCCCTTGCTCCCAGAGATCTCTCTGTTCATCCTGGTTGCCCCATTATTGTTCCACCATGTGTGTCTCGACTCGTCTTTTTCCCGTCCGCTTTCTGGGCAACGCCTTCTGGACGGGCTGATGGGGACACGCGAAGCGTGAATAAGCATCGATCTGAATCTATACTTAGCGTCACCTTGAAGGAATCGCGATTTAGAAACGTGAACTACCTCAAACCCGGGGGGGGGGCAATAAGAGGCGCTGACGCCGCTGCTCCCCGGACCTCTCCCGGGGCGCATGCTGCCCAGCATCTCGAGGAGGATCCCGCCATGGCGACGAGCATTCTCCAGAACGAGCAGCGGCATCAGTATGCCCAGACCCCCGAGGTCGTGCTTTTCTCGCAGCGCTGACCCCCGGAGGTCGCGCTTTTCTCGCAACGCTGACCCCCCAGAGGTCTCGACGGCCCATTCCCCAGGACCAACTTTCCACCCCCAGTCGTTTTTTTGACGGTCCAGGGGCCCGGCGAGGGCCCCGCGGAGGCCGAAAACAGCCCAAACCCTTCCATCGCGTTTTTTCCGACGACGGATCTGGGGCTGGGTCCTTCGGAAAACCCGGGCCAACGAAAACCCCGGGTCAGCAGCAACCCGGGTCGGCTGCGGCTCCCTCGCGAAGCCCGGCCGCCGAGTAGCTTCCAGACCCGGGTCGGCAGGAGGGCGGACAAGAGGAGTCGGCGCCCCACGTGTCTCCCAAACCCTGGTCGGCCCGAGGGCTGTGCCTGACCTCCGCCAGCGCTGCGCCCCGCCATGTGGGACCCAATACTGTTTGCTCGCCCGGCGCGTGGGGACGCGTGAGGGCTGGGCTTCTTCTGCTCCTCGTGTTTCTTCCGACGACGCTTGCCCTCAGACCCGCCCCTGAAAAAGTGCAGCATAGCAAAAAATCACGAGGGGAGCCCCAGGGTTTGGGGGTCCCCAAACCGTGTGGTGACAGACCTGGCGCGCCAGGTCTGTCACCGCGGTGACCTCGAAATCCGACCTCACCGCAGGGTCCGCTACCACGATTTCGGTACCTCGGAGGCTCCAGCCGCCCGAGACGTCCTCGAAGAACCGACCCTAGTCCCAAAACCCTGCCGTGACCCCGAATCCCCACCGACTCACCACACGGTGTGGCCACCACGCCGTTCGGGGGCCCCTGGGGTGTCTCCTCCACCACCACCACCATCATCGCCATCATCACCACCTTCATCTGCATCGGCTCCGGGCCACGCTGCGTCGAGGCCGAGTGGCCCAAAGACAGGCAAACCCGAGGTGCCAGCTGCAAAAGCTCTTATTAGGTGCCAACTTGGGGCGCGTCGGGCTTTGGGGTCTCTTCTCCTCCCCGGCGCCCCCGGCGCGGCGGACGCGCCCGGCGCGGCGGACGCGCCCGGCGCCCCCGCGGGCAGCGGCGCGCCCGCGAGCGCCGCCGCGCCGCCCCGGGCGGCGAAGGCGCCGCAGCCCATGGCGCCGCAGCCCGCGCGGCCATGGGGCGGCGTGCGCCGTGGCGGCGTGCGCGCCCCGCGCGGGGGGCGGCGCCGTGGAGCCTCGGCGGCTGCCGGCGGCGGCTCTTCCCCCTCTGCCGCTGGCCCCCCTCCTGCTGTCCTGCGGCTTCGGTCCTCCTCCGCCTCGTCGTCCACGGCCTCGTCCTCGTTCGCGTCCTCGCCCGCCGCGTCTTCCTCGCCCTCCTTCCGTGTCCTCACGTTCCACTCCCAGCTCGTCTTCCTCGTCCCGTCCAGATGTCTTCGCTCCCGTCCACGTTCTGGGCCCCGTCCTTTTGCCCTTCCCTTTTTCTTCCTTCGCCTCCCCTGGCTTCATTCATATCATCGCCCCTGCCATCGTCAGCATCATCACAACCACCCACCATAATGGCAACCCTCCTCTCTCGTCTCAACCTGCATCCTCTTCTTGCTCCACCCTTCCTCCTCCTCCTCCTCCTCCTCCTCCTCCTCCTCCTCCTCCTCGTCCTTGTCCTCCTTCTCCTCCTCGGAACTTCGAAACTGCGGTGCCAAAGTAGCGAAGCCCTCCCGCCGCTGGGGTAGTGGTGGGCGGAAGAGAAGCTAGGAGTAGCAGTAACGCAAGAGCGCCAGGGGCGAGGAAGAACCTCCTCCTCCTCCTCCCTCCTCCTCCTCCTCTTCCTTCGTCTTACCCTTCGTCTCTG